ACACACAAGCACCAGGGGAAGTGCCTGCTGATGCCCTGGTACCACCAGTAAACAGGCCAGAACGGCCTCACTCCCTTCTGCCGGCCGGCGTGCTCCTTCAAGACAGGAGCTGTGCCTCAAAGGCCAGTGTGAGGCCAGAGCTGCCCCTCTACCCAGAAGCTGGGAGACAGGGAAGCAGGCTGGAATTCAACTCGGTTCAGTGCAAGAGACAAAGGAGCTCAGGAGGCAGGATGTGTGAGACCAGGGTTAGACTGGCCGTTCACTGTCAGTCTTTCTATGTTGGTTTGCTTCTACCCCATTGGTGTGTAGCACGAATTTTAATTGGTCTTAATAATAAAAACCTGGAGTCAGATATTAGGGAGTGAAGGCTGAATGATCAGAAAGATGAAGGAGCCAGCCACAGCCTTTACCTCCTCAACTTCTCAGCAGAAAGGAGACTGAGCTCCTGTTTTCTCCTGCCTTATCACCTCCTCTCTATGCCCAGCCATATCACTTCCTGTCTGTCTGTACAAACCTCCAGACCTCTATGGTTAACTAGTAGCTAGCTCTGCCCTCTCATCTTCAGGTAAGCTTTATTTGTTAGAGTATAAACAAGATATCACAAATTCCCCCTTTTTTGTATAAAAACAAGAAAGAAGGTTATAACTAATATAAGATAAACTATATACAATAAGTACAATAGCTATAATGCATACAGGTAATAGATACACCAACAATGTCTAGTCCATTAACAATTGACAAATTCATAGAAAATACTCCATATCTATCCTCTCTAGGTGAGTCCAAAAGGTTGTACATAATTCACTTTCTATTCTAACTTGCATTACGGAAACTATCTTTTTATGTCTCTCAACCTTATACACTTAATTTACATTTCTTTAGTGCGCCACCAATGCCCGGCTTTTCTTCTCCGAAGTAGATTAATGCTGCCAGGAGCAAACATGTCTCATTGTCATAAAAAAAGAAAAGAACCTATTGATGGGGGATGTCCTTCTGTTTATATGTTTCTCTTATTGGTTAATGAATAAAACACTGTTTGGCCAGTAGCTAAACCAGGGGAAGGCTGGAAAGGGAGGCAGAGAGAGGCCAAGGAGACACCACGCTGCCGAAGGAGTAACATGCTGGATCACGGGTAATCCACAGCCTCATGGCAATGCATAGATTAATAGAAATGGGCTAGTAATTAAGACAGAGCTATCCAATAAGAAGCCTGAGTCAGTTTATAAATTAGTATAAGTCTTTGTGTAGTTGGGGCAAAGTGGCTGTGGGACCAGACAGGATGGAAACCTCTATCTACAACCTATCTTGTAAAAACATCTTAAATGCCATATTCTGCAGATCTCTGAAGTGCTTGAAGATGACATATCTATCTAAAATATATCTTTGTTTGACCTTGAAAACATGGCTACAAGTTTGATTGTAATAGTGACTAATTGCTAACCTGCATTTCCTTACTATCCTAAATAGTTGGTAATAATAACTTTCAAGGGCTAAAAATTTACATTATATTGTTATATGAATTACATAGGTACAATACCTTGAACAAGATTAGAAATGTATATACAGTATATTCTAACCAAAATAATCTCAACTTTGTATCAATATACAAAAAAATCCAAGCCAATGTAAAATATTTAAAATTAGTAATTGCTTTTTTGGTTTAAGAGTAGATTCAGCTGGGCAGTGGTGGCTCATGCCTTTAATCCTAGCACAAAGGAGGCAGAGGCAGGCAGATCTTTGTAAGTTCGAGGCCAGCCTGGTACCAGGACAGGATTCAAATCTGCACAGAGAAACCCTGTCTCAGAAAAACAAAGCAACAACAACAACAAAAAGAGTAGATAGTGTACCTTTTTGTCCTTTTTCTGTTATCCCCCTTTTTCTTTTCAGAGTAGATTTAATAATCTTCCCTTACATCCTATCAGTATGTTCGTTCTGTCTCTTGCTCCAGCTCACCCCCTCTCTTGCCGCTACCCCAACTCTGGCCTTATTTTATTTAATCTTACTCTTTCCCGTCCTCAATTTTGTCCAAATCTGATTGTTTTCTGTATGTACGTGAGAAGAGCAACAATCAAAACCAGTCACTTTGGAAGCCTGGGCCCCCCAAAGACCAAAAGACCAAATTGGATAATTTCTGTTCCAGCACACTTTTAAAAAAGAGAAAACAAACAAATGAACTGAAAACTTGGATCCAGTGACCTATGTATGATTTGACTCATTTGCATATCTCGGTAGAGTTTTCTAAGGATAAATTGGACATGGTCTTTTTCTGGGGCACTGTGTCTGAATAATCTGTTTATATAAGACAATTAACCCCTTCCAAATACAAGGCTCTGGACTGGGTCTCCAGTGATGCCCCTGGGGTGGGGGAATCAGCCAAATATAACCGTCACCAATGAATGACGTCAGAATGCAGAGCACTGCACAACAGCACTGTGCTGGGTTGGTACTGTCAGGTGGCCTCTCAGTCTTCTGAGAAGGCAGTTTCCTTGCCCAAGCCACTCTCCTCAGTAATGGAATACAGAGGGCCAGGTTATGAAGACTTCAAATGTGTTTCTGTTTGGGTACAGCTTGAAACAAGTGACTAAAGACTCAGAAGTTTCCTTCTAGAACAGTGGTGCGCTCAACCTGTGGGTCACGACCCCTTTGGGGTTGAATGACCTTTTCACTGGGGTCACCTAAGACCATCAGAAAACAGATTCATAACAGTAGCAGAATTACAGTTATGAAGTAGCAGTGAAAGTAAGTTTATGGTTGGGATCACCACAACACGAGAAACTGCATTAAAGGGTGGCAGCCTTAGGAAGACTGAGAAGCACTGTTGTAGACTAAGTTTCTAAGCCTGAATATTGCTGAAATCTGGGGCGCTGTCCTGTGTGTTCTAAGATTCTTAGAGCCTCCCTGATCGTAACTCAGTAGGCACCAGTGGTGGATACACAGCCAAGCTGACAACGAAAAACGTCACCACGCTTTACCAAATGTCCCTTGAGGAGTAGCACTGGCACCTATGAAAATGACTGGTCTAGAGACAGGGTGTAATACCACGCTCCAAAATACACTCATCGGATTGTGTCATCTTAAGTGTCTCGGGGAAGGTGATAGTTCCGAAAAAGCCACGCCTTAACGTTTCACCACCAGGCACTTCTCTAGGCTGCATTTTTACTAAAGAAGTGGGCTTCAGAAGGCAAGAACAATGTGCATTTTGTCTGTCTCTGTAGTCATGTTATCAGCCTATTGCCTGAGGGTGACCATTTGCAAACATCTGTGGAATGATCACCACCAATCGTCAGACTACTGTAGATCAGGTACCACGATGTTTCCTTCTTTTTCCTTCCCTTCAGCTTCTGTGGGTCTCATAGCCTATGCTGATCTTGAACTCGCTTTGCGGCCAGGGAGACCTTATCTCCTGGTCGTCCTGCCTCTACACCCTCAAGAGCTGGGGTTATTGGTGAGCACTACCACACCCAGCTGACGTTTCCAAACTGCTGCTGTTCTCTGATGTCTTGCTAACTGCCCCCTCCCCCCTGCCGCCAGTTCCTGTCCTCATCCCAAATTGTTGTTTTTATAGATTAAAAACAACAACAACAATTTCTTCCTTTGTATGTGCGTGTGTTTCTGTGTGCAACACATTCCCGTTGCTGCCTGGAGAGTAGAGGGTGCTAGATTTATTGGAGCTGGGGTGGCACAGTTGTGAGCTGTAGGGCATGGGCGCCGGGAACCAGACTGGGGTCCTCAAGAACAGACACGTTCTCTAAGGGATAAAATGATGAACATATAGACTTAGATACAGATGGGATGCATTCAAGTGGCTTATAGGCTAGGCTTCATGTTCAGTGTATGTCTTCTGACTTCAAATGACCCAGGTTTTAGGGTGGGTCTCCCACCTCATATAATACAACCAAGAAAACTCCCTCACAGGTGAGACCAGCTGCTTGGGTTTCAGTGAATTCCAGATGTAGTGAGGTGACAGCCAAGACTACCCACCACACATGGTGAGTACTCTTAACTACTGAGCCATCTCTCCAACTCGTTTAATTTTTTTTTGAAGAGTCCCATTTAACCCAGATTGGGTTCAAACTTATTGTGTAGTTGAGGATGACCTTGACTCTTGATGCCCCGCCCACCCCTCGGAGTGCTAGGATTATAGGTCAGTTTCTTTTTCACCTCCCAGCACTCTATAACCCAGGCTAGCCTAGAAGCCACTATACAGCTGGCCTTGAAGTTGTGGGCGATTCTTCCATGTCAGCTTCCCAAATTCTGAGACTGTGTGTGAACTGCCAGGCCAGGATCCTTTTCTTAGCTTCTTAGGCGTGAGCTGAAGTATCTACTGACCCGAGACTCAGTTCCCTCTAGGAAAATTCGGAGGATGCCAGATTTCTCTAGATCTGAACAGTGGAGCAGGTACCAGCCAGTTAGGAGGTTCTTGGGATTAGCACTGCTGTTCTGCACACCTCAGCCACCTGCAGAGCTTGTACTTGTCCCCATCAGTATTTAAACTTGCCCAGGAGGCATCAAACCACAAATGAGGCAGACAAGTGCTTGACTCATATAGTCAGACACCCTGGAAATCCAAGTCATGTTGATTTTCCGTCCTTCCTCCCTTCCTTCCTTCCTTCCTTCCTCCCTCCCTCCCTCCCTCCCTCCCTCCCTCCCTTCCTTCCTTCCTTTCTTCCTTCCTTCCCCTCCTCATCCTTCTCTCCCTTCCTTCCTTCTTTTTTTTTTAATTTTCAATACAGGGTTTCTTTGTGTAGCCCTGGCCTTCCTGGAACTAGCTGTGTAGAACAGGCTGGCCTTGAACTCACAGAGATCCACTTGCTTCTGCCTCGGAGTGCTGAGTGGTGTGTGCCACCACTGCCTGGCCCTTTTCTTTTTTTAGAGACAGGGTATCACTGTTTAGCCCTGGCTGTCCTGGAACTCCCCATGTAGATCAGGCTGGCCTCCAACTCAGAGGTCTGCCTTCCTCTACCTTCCAAGTGCTGGGATGAAAGGCGTGCGCCACCATGCCTGACTCACATGTTAATTTTTTGGCAACATATCCTTGCATTTTACAAGACTGTCATGGTGGGGCTTTACAGTATCAACTACTTGGCACAAATGGGAAACTGAGGCCCCATGACGTTCAAATCACAGAGTTGCTTTACGGAGGCACACACAAGGTTGCTGTGCTGACTTTTACACTCCGATTCCAGAATGGAGCTAGGAGGGCCAATCCCAAGCTCAGTACCTTGAGAGCAGGCACCTCGTGTGTCTAGTTCCTGGAAGATTTTGAGTGAAGAGATCACATTCTCTATGGTGTGGGCTTGGAAGGGGCAGAGGAAGAGGACCTGGTGTGGAGCCAACAGCCCCTAAGCTGTGCCAAGCCAGTGTGGTAGCAGGAACACAGGATGAATAGCAGGCAGGATGGGACTGGCCTGGTCAGAACAGGCAGAGACAAAGCATACAGCATTTATCACAGGGTTGAGCAAGATGAGACAGAATCCACTCCAGCTGCAGGCAGGAGAATCGAGTGCATCGCTCCTCCAGTCTGGTGTCGGGGCAAGCCAAGGACTAAGGAGGACTCCAGAAGCCGGGAGGATGCTGCGCTCTCTCCTCAGAGCCTCCAGCAGAAGCTACCCCGGTACTACCTTGACCTTTGCCCTCTAAAATGTCTTCTAGATTCCCGACCTCCAGACCTGCAAGAGAATAACCTCGTGTTAACTGAAGCCAGGTTCTGCTGGTGGTGTGTTACAGCAGTGACAGGAGCTGGTATATATGTGTTTCTTTTTTCTTCTTCCCTCCCTCTCTCCCCTCCCTCCCTCCCTCCCTCCCTCCCTCCCTCCCTCCCTCTCTCCCCTCCCTTTCTTCTTTTCTTTCTTTTTTTCTTTTGAGACAGGGTTTCTCTATGCAGCCCTGGCTGTCCTGGAACTCACATTGTAGACTAGGTTGGCCTTGAACCCAGAGATCTGCCTGTGTCTCCGAAGTGCTGGGATTAAAGGCGTGTACTACCACACACAGTAACATGTATGTTTTTCATCATACAGTAGGAAGGTATGATTCCTTCCAATTCTGGTCCCAAAGCCTTTACATGATGCAGTGGAGGTCCACATGTGGGAAGCCAGCAAATACGTAGACACTATTTAGGGAGAGGTCGTGGAGCTTCAGGGATGCGCTCCTCCCATCCGATTGCTCCTCCTCCTGTGCCCCCTTAAGTCTCTTCTCAGGAGTCATAAACTGAGCCTTCTTCCATCTCCCTGTGTCACTGCTAAACAGGAAACTGCCGCTGCTAGTCTGGGGTGGGCAGACCTCACAGGGAAGTCCTGATATTTCTTCCCTCACTATCAATAAGGAACAAATCAGCAAATAAACAAGCAAGTTTAACCAGTCACTAAGTATCTATTTCACATCTACAACTTGGTAGGCACTGTATGGACACCAGGGGCCAAAGACAACATATCCCCTCACCCATGGGAAAGACAGATCTGTCCATGATTATCTGTGGCACCGCATATAAAATTGTATAGTGAAAGGCCAGGGAGATGGCTACATCAGTAACGTACTTGCTACGTGGATATGAGCACCTGAGTTCAGTCCATAGCACTCATGTAAATAAGCCTATAATGCCAGGGCAGATGGAGACAGGGGCATCCATGGAGCTCACTAGCCAGCAAGAATATCAGAATCAATGAGTTCCAGGTTCAGTGAGAAATGATGTCTCAAAAAAGTGAAGTGGGCCGGGCGGTGGTGGCGCACGCCTTTAATCCCAGCACTCGGGAGGCAGAGGCAGGCGGATCTCTGTGAGTTCGAGGCAGGGCTGGACCAACAACCGACAGCCTCAAAAACAATACAGAGAAACCCTGTCTCGTAAAAACCAAAAAAAAAAAAAAAAAAAGTGAAGTGGGCCTGGAAATACGGTTCAGTCCCCATGCCAGGCAGTTCAGCATCTCTTAGTTCAATCCCCAGCTCCAGGGAATCTACCACCTCTGGTTTCTGAGGGTACCCATACACACATGGCTGATACACACATACACATGATTAAAACTTTTTATATCTTGAGAAAATAAGACGGCAAGTGATTGAGGAAGGCACTCAACATCTTTGGCCCCCACATGCACACACATGTGTACACATGGACACATGTGTACACACGACACACATGTGCACATGATATGTGTACACACGACACAAACTCCACAGTAGGTGGACCAAACACTTAAGAGGAATGCAGTATTCACTCTGATTAGAGGTGGTTCATGGAGGGTATACTATGGAGGAATGCAATATTCACTCTGATTAGAGGTGGTTCATGGAGGGTATACTATGTAGTGTGGGCTTTGAGAGAGGCTTGGCAACTTCTTCACAAACGAAATAGGACACATGCTCCATGCAGAAGGAGACGCACAGGTTAGTAGCCTACAACACTGTACCATTCGTCACCTTCTCCAACTCCCTGCCTCTCAATGGATCCTCTAAGAGACATCATTAAGTTTCATGGAGAAAGACTGTCATGGTCAAGGTTCTATGCAAACCAGAAATTAGTACTTTCCCGGGAAGGACCATTTCCCGACAACATGGGATTGCAGCCACAAACAAGCTGCCCATCAGTCTTCATTTGTCCTCGGGGCTTTTCCACCTGAGTCTGAGTCCTTGTTCCTATGCAACCCAGTGGCACTTAGACATTTTTCTCTATATTTCGGGGAAAACCACTCACTGACTACCCTGAGATGCCTTTTAAAAACTAAGAATACAGGGGCTGGAGAGATGGCTCAGAGGTTAAGAGTACTGACTGTGCTTCCAGAGGACCTGGGTTCAGTTCCCAGAAGCCACATGGCAGCTCACAGCTGTAACTCCGAGATCTGTCACCCTCACTCACACAGACATACATGCAGGCAAAACACCAATGCACGTCAAATAAGCATACATAAACTGCTTTAAAAATTAACAATACAGGGTGTTATTTTTTGGTTTTTGGTTTTTCTGCATACCTCTGGCTTTCCTGGAACTCACTCTGTAGACCAGGCTGGTTTTGAACTCAGAGATTCACCTGCCTCTGCCTCTGCTGGATTAAAGATGTGTGCCATCACCACCTAGCTGAATACAAGGAGTTTTACAGTAGAAACAAAGGCACCTGAAAAATGTCTATTTTGGTGGTGGTATTCACCTTTTTGGCTTTGTTAATGTGTCTTTCACAAGACAGAAATGGGTTAAAGCATGCTGTTTGCTTTCTGATACCTTTTGGTAGAATGCTTAAGATTTATTTTTTTAATGCACTATGACTTACCAAACTTAGGGGGTTTGCCTGTGTGAATGTCTGTATGAGGGTGTCAAATCACCTGAAACTGGACTTACAGACAGTCCTGAGCTGCCACGTGGGTCCTTTGGAAGAGCAGCCAGTGCCATTAACCACTGGGCCATCTCTGCAGCCCAGTAGAATGTTTTCGATGTGCGTATCTTAATGACATATAATAGTGGGTTTGTTTTATTATGACATGTTCATGCATGGATGATGTGTTTTGAGCCTATTTTCCCCACTGCCCTTCTTGTTCCCCTCCTATTTCCATTAATGCTGTTCCTCTTCCTATCATCTCTCTCTCTGTGTGTGTGTGTGTGTGTGTGTGTGTGTGTCTATGTCTGTGTGTGAGAGCCTTTGTGAAGAATAATCTACAGAGACATGGGCATCTTACCAATAGCTACACCAAAATGAAGAATGCCCCTCCCTCCCCCATCAACCATTAACTGTCTATAAATCCTTAAGGCATTTCCTCCTTCAGGCTGAACCTTTTCTCTAGATCCACTGCCCTGCCTGATACCAGCACTCCATCAGCTCTCCTCTGAATAGGACTCATCCGCTACATCCCTTAAACTAGAGAGCCCTGTGGACTGCAGGCGGCCACAAGCCCCTGTAGCACAGAGGCTGCTGATCCAACAGTATCAAAGCAAAGCAGACGTACAGAGAGGCGTAAGATGGCTGTCAGCATAGGCACGGCCCTCCGGGGGACTGCCCAGTTCCGTGTCTCAAGCCTTCTAGGGTTTTGGGTCTATTTGCTGTCTTTGGAGCCACAAGATTCCTCTGTTTTTATAGCAAATTTCCCTTTACTGAAACTAATTGGCTGAAATTCTACCCTCAAAAGGAAGCAACCGACCTCATGAGGACAAACCTGACTGCCTGTATCAACAGTCCGCATTCTTGCCATTCTCAGTGGTTAAGTGGCCATCCCGAATGTTCACAGATTATGCAGCTTCACAAGGTCCTGGGCGACCTCCAGCTTTTCAACCAACACGTGGGACAGTTACCGTCTCCACAGACCAGATCAAACAACGCTGAGGGTTTTGTCTGTTTTCTCCAGAACCCCCTCCAGCTCACAGACACCAGCCCTTGAAGGGCACCTCTTCCCACAGCCCTACTTAAGCCAGATTTTATTTTTATTTCAATTTGTGTAATGATACTTTGCAATCACTTAACTGGTGCTTCTAAATTGCTAGTTAGATTCAGTAAGAATTAGATTGGATAATATACACAGAGACCTGATATATAGCAAATTGGACTTTAAAATCTTTATTCTGAATATTACTTAATTAAAACTTAGATATTATCTTATTATAGATTTTTAAAATATATTTTTCTGAGTGATGGGTTTGCTTATCAATACAAAACTCCTTCTCAGCCATGGCAGATACCCTGGAGCTCAGCCCTAACAGTCCCTTCTTTCTCTTCCACTCTTACAGGTGGGGACATCATTTATGACTTTAATACTGCCTACATGCTGGGAACTCTCCAGTTTGTCCCTTGAGTGGCCCTCTCCTCTGTCCTTAAACACATCTAACTGCCTGTTGGGTCCTTTGGCTTTGAGGGGGCATATCACACTAATCTGTCAGAGCTGAATTCCTGCTCCCCACCTTAGCAAATACCTACCGATGCTTCCAGGTGCTCAAGCCAAACACATTTGAGTGATTGCTGCCTTGATCTTGCTGCCCACCCCGCATCCAGCCTTGTACAGTTTTTTCCTTGCCAGCCGCCTGGGCCCTGCCACAGTTGCAGTCCCCAAATAACTCACAGGACACTATATTAATTATGAAGCTGAGCCGGGCGGTGGTGACACATGCCTTTAATCCCAGCACTTGGGAGGCAGAGGCAGATGGATCTCTGTGAGTTCGAGGCCAGACTGGACCAACAGTCTCCAAAATAATACTGAGAAACCCTGTCTCGTAAAAACAAACAAAAATAATAATAATTATGAAGCTGTTGGCCATTTGCTTGGTTTCTTACTGGCTATCTCTGACTTAAGTATTTAACCCATAATTGTTAATCTAAGTATTTCTCTTACCGGAGAAAGGGTCTGGACCTCTTACTCCTCTGGAGGCTACATCGTGACTGTCTGTGTCTCTCTTTCCCAGAATCCTCCTCGACTCCTAGTCCCACCTATCTTGCTTCCCTAGTGCTTTATTCAAACCAATTAGACACATTTTTTACAGAATGATGTGGGAACACCAGACCTTGAGCAGAGACCCACTTCCCCTTCTGCCTGGGAGTAGGCAGCTATAAGACAATGTTTAGTAAAAACATGTTTACTAAAAACGATACAATAAGTTCCTGGCCACTTCCCCTTCTGCCTGGGAGTAGGCAGCTGTAAGACAATGTTTAGTAAATCCTATGAGTGGCAAAAGCCTCTTTTCAGTATTTGAACAGGACATGGTC